CATGTACGCTATTCAAAATTTGATGGCTCTAGGTACCGTTGTTTTATCACAATGTGAAAAACATACATATATGCAGATTTTTCATTATTTAATTTCTTTAAATATAAATACAGAGCTCTAATTTTTAGTGACAACAGTTTAAAAGTGATTCGCCGTTTATAGCGAATCATGGTAAAATGCCAAAACGAAATTAATAGCCCTTCTGGGCAAATTGTCCCTTTGGGCTAAAAATGCAGCAATAACAGTTAATTTGTATCCTTGTTCAAAAACACAAAACATGCCCCATCAAGAATCAATCAGCATTACATCAAATAAAAGCACAGATGTGATGACTGTCTTGTTACATCACATTATCCATAATGAAAACTTAAGCTATGCTTGGTGACAGTTTCATGTTCAATGGGATAATATGCAAGTATCATATTTTTTATTTACTTAGAATATGGATTAATTCTACTTAATGTATTTTTTTAAGTGTGCACAACATTCCTGTTATTATCCTGGTTAATTTGGGTGTCTAATGTAATTCAAAAATTAATAAGTCAGAGATTTCATTTCACACATAAACATTATCTTTGTAGTTCTGCAAGGTTACAGGAAAATCACACTGCATTTGGCTGTCCCTTATAATAAAATTCTGCTGTTTAATGATGGCTATTAAATTCGATTTTTCCGGATTATAGATCATCAGTTTAAATCTCGTAAGATGGCATGCAGAAATTCTAAAATTAAAAATATGAAACCGTAATTTATGAAATAGAGAACAATTATGATCTAAAGGGTATCAAAATTTGCAAAAAGAAAAAGCTTAATATTTATTTGTTTACTTTATTAAACATTTCTTTGAATGTAAGTTGTTTAAGTTTTGCTTCGTTTCATGTGATAATACTTTCTCTTTAATTCTATTAAACAGACATAATTTCTTGTTCAGTTACAAAGTTCCGCTGTTCAAGTCCTATAATTTCTGTGTTGAGAATACAGACTAATTTGTCAATCGAAATTTTTTCGTTTTCAATAACCTCTGTTACTTTCTTTGCTATCGGAAGCGAATTATAATGACGAGGAACTTGTTTTAAATCATATCAAAGACGGAGCACATCGAGATGAAATACTACATTTGGTAAGGAATTATAAGCCGAATAAAATAAAAACATCTGCTCTGAAGATAAGGATAGTGCTGACAGTTCAACTTCCAATTCATTATGCGCCCGCCGCGGCGTGTAATTGATAAACAGATTTCGGATTTCAAAACAAACTTTCGCTTTAGATCCTTTACATATTAACAAATATATATCGAAAATTCTATTTGATATAATCGAAAGTTTAAGCTTACTTTTATAAAATTGCTGTTACAGTCTGCAAAAAATAATAAGCCGGATCCAATTCGAAAATTAAGGAACAATGCAATCATCAACATTAACTGAAATAGATAATTATTTAGCTTATACGTCCACTATACATAAAACATGCAAGCGAAAACGTATTCTGCACTTGCGCACACTCATATGCGCAGTCGTAAAAGGTCTTACGCGCACGCGTAAACGCCTATGCGCATGTGTCAAAGCGGCGCACGCGCAGAAAGTTTTTAGTTTTGAGGTCCGGATTATAGATCATTCCGAATTAACGACTTTTGACTGTAGATAATTTAGAGGTAAAAGTTTTCGGATATTTTATTTATTTTATACGTAGAAATGTTCATATTTAGAAAGGGTATATACTTTTTCGCGATAAGGTAATTTCATATATGTTCTTTTTACCGGGTTTAAAGATTCAGAAAATTGTCGTGCATTTTCGTGAAATTTTTCTAATTTATGAGAAAAAAGCAGTGTACATGGATATAGTGAAGAGTGTGCGCAATGCCATTTTTGTGCAATTCTGGGATGTTTTTTTAAGTAAAAATAAGTCGACGTGTACATGGTTTATGTGTATGTGTTATTGTGAAAAATGCGCAAGGAGTTTGCGATTGTGCACTTTTTCCCAATTTTACAGTGAATATTTGTCATGATTAAGCAGTTTTGTTATATAAAATTTCTAGCATAAGTGTAATTTGGCTAGTAGATTGTTGGAAAAAGTGTTCAGTAAATAAAAAGAAAAGAAACATGTCTTTACTTCGTGAAGACAAAATGGCGGCGGAAAAAAACAAATAGAGGGTTGCTGTAGCAGAGTTGGTCGCCAAATTTTCACCATGTTACCATAATCCAAAGATCAACCAAAATCAGTATGCAACCACTCGAGAGCTTTCTGAGGAGTTAGACGTTAGTGCCATTTTCATTAGTCACGCTATGCATTGCACAAACTTGATGTACAAGTTCAATCACTGGATGCCGCATAAGCTGACTCAAACAGATAAGGACAGACGTGTTCGGGCTTACACTAATCTGCTTGAATACTAATGCAAGGACAAAATTCTAGACCAAATCGTCACTTGTGATAAAAGTGGATTTACTTCAACAACACAGGTTGAAAAGGGTGTGCCCAGTGAGCCCATGGGCAGCATTGCAAATGCAATCTGACTAAGAAAAAGATCATGCTTTGTATCTGGTGGAATTGCCATGGTATAAAGAATGTCTAGTGCCACAAAGAATAACTGGAGAAAGGTAAAATCGTCAACAGTAAGATGTACAGAGAGATGCTAGTCCATGCTGACGTTGCTATCAAAGAAAAATGTCAAACTCGGTTGTGGTGCAAAAAGGTAATGTTCTATCAAGATAATGCAAGACTACAAGTGTCTGCATTCGCAGACTAGACTCTATAGGGTCTCAAATGGGATCTTTTGCCACACCCACCATATAGCCCCGAGATTGCTCCTTGGGACTTCTACCGTTCTTCACACCTGCAGTTACTAGTGCTATTTTCCATTCTACACAGGATATCCAAAATGAGATTGATCTGGTTTTAGACTTACGGCCACCATGTTTCTGGGTTGAAGGCTTTGAAAAACTATCAAAACAATGGCAGAAAACTATAGATTTTTGGGTGGTGATTACTACCCACTGCTTTCATATTTCTCTTCTAACTTTATTAAGAATGTTTTTTGACATAAAACATTCATTAAAACCAGATACTAATGCAAGTTTTCTAAAAATATTTTCTCAAGAATAAGAACACGAAAAAAACAAGAGATTCTCGTGAAACCAGACTCAAGATTTTCGGTACTATTCGGTTTTGAAGGCCGTAAAAAATCGCCAAACTATTGTTGATGCCAGTGCTGCCAAAAATAATTGTGGCAACCTTAACAGAAAGGAAGTAACTATCTAAGACTGATGTTTTAATTTAGAAGAAAAGTTAATTTCATATAATACTTTTTAATTATTATAATTTATATAAAAAAGGCTAAACATGACTGAATGGAAGCATAAGAGTAAATAACTATTTTAGATCATTATTATAATTTATATAAAAATTGTTAAACATAACTGAATGGATGCCTGCACCGCTATTTCACTACCGAGTTATCGCTAAAGCATAATTTCATCTCGTTGGTTGTTCAAACATAATTTTCTATAATGAATGATGCCTTTTCTTTGAAAAAAAATTCTCGGTTAAGTGCAGAATCGCCCACTTATTTGTCTGCCGCTTTTTACAAGGGTTAAAAACAATTGGATTTTTGTCAATTTTCTTATACTTTTTAAGTGAAAATAGGTCGATGTGTACATGGTTACTGAGTATGTGCAATTCTTAAAAACGCGTCAAGCAGTGGGTGATTCTGCACTTTACCAAAAATTCTATTGCAGATTTTTCGTCATGGGCAACACATATTTTCATTTGTATCCCACATCAAGCTTATAATTACTAAAGAAGGATGTTAATCAAAACATGTTAGGCAACAAAACAAACATTTGACAGTGGAATGCATTAGGTGACCAGACATTTCAAAGCCATCACATGAATAATCTAACTTTAAAATGTAACATAAACAAATAAAAATGGATGTTATAAAGCAAAGTGCTTCAAATTAAAAAAGGGGGGAGAATTTTACTAGATTCCATTTTTTGTCAATAACACGAAACTTCAATTCCATTCCTTGGCAATAAAACTAAAATCATTAAAAATGCAGCACAACATGATTTCATGTTGTCTTTCAAACATGTTTAACCTTTTCTTAATGATTTTTATGTTCTGAAGAAAAGAAACATAACTCAGTAACGCAACTACGCTTTTAAAATGCGAGAAGTTTGCCGAAACACACGTGCTAGACACTGATAAAAATAGTATATTAATATTTGTAGACTATAACTTTTGCAATAACTTCCTGCTAGACTGTTATTACATATAAAATTTAGATTTTTTTTTTTTTTTAAGTGATTCACAAAGAAACCATTCAGAAACAAAATAAAAGGTTATGAATATAGTAGATGTGTCATTTACTATCCAGTGCCTAATTTAAAACCTTTTAAATATAAAGGGCTACTTCACATTTTGCATTTGAGAATGACAAAAACAACGTATTTACATGTTTAAAGTATAACAAATATTTCACATGGATTTCTACCATAATTTTTAGAAAATAATACTTAATTATTTAATTGTGCTCCCAACTAGACATTCATCTAATTTCATTTAATGCAATTTATTTGGGAAAAGCTTATCAAAAAGTGTAAATGTTTAATTACCAGTTTTAGGCAAAGCAATCAGTACTTATATTGGAAGAGATGAAAGAAATACGTAAACATAACAAAATGATTTTCCCCAGTAGGATACTATATCAAACATAAACAAAATAGCTTAATTTTTTTCCATGATTTTAAAATACATTGTATTTTTTTGCAGCTTTGCCAAGATTTCGGTATTCATTTCCAGTTTTACTGAATACATATTTATACATAATTAATTTCACATGGCAATCAGATAGCATACCAATGTTAAATGAAAACATTTGTTCATGACAAGACCTTCATAGCAAAATGAAAGAAATGCATGAGTAAATACGGTAAAAAGCTAAACTCTTTCGATGCATTTTGTAAAAATTAAAATTAATGATACATTTCTAGGGTACTTACGGTTCTGCTTCAATTGATTTCAATTTTGCAACATAATTTGAGGGGATATAGCCTTCTTTCTTAGTTGCTTTAGATCTGGCAAACCACCAGTCTCCTTGCGTATCATTAAGCACCTCTAGGTGCTCACCTTTCTTAAAACTTAAATCCTCGTCTGTGCGAGCATCATAATCATACAAGGCGACGAAAACTTTAGGTGCATTATGTCCAGATATATTTTCAGTGTCCATAGGTACTGGAGGTAGCATCGGACCACTTCGCACCACAGCATCAGGATGTCTTATACTGGTAGGTTCATGAGACTGTACAGGGACAAGAACACTTATAGGTGTCGGTCCATTATCAATATTTCTTTCTGCAGTTGCGGGTCCAGATGGATCCCCCTTTTTCACATTCTTATTCGCAGAGCGGCTGAAACAGTTACCCATGTTTGATGAAAACTAGAAATCAAAATCTAAAATAGTTCACTAGATCTTATAATATGGATTTTTATGTGCAAAATATTTAATGTAGACAACTGCGCACTCATCATAAAATGCACACATTAATAGTTTTCACCCTAATTCCCCTCATTTACATACTCAAAAACCACCACCCTGCCCTAAGCCTCATTCACTCGCACACCAGCCCACTCCTTTCTTGCGTGCCATGCCACTCAGAGGGTTAGAAAATCGACAAGAAGTCTCCCTTCTACCTCTCGTAAAATGGATCAACCTGGTCGTCATAGCCACGCATCTCCTATTTGCTTAAAACACTCTGCTGAACCAGCGGAATGACTGGTCAATAGTGGCGCCATCTACTAGGGACGCTAACATTTAAATTAAATTCCATTATCCCTATATTAATGAAAAAACCACACTCAGAACAAAATGCTTAAACGTAAATAAAATTACTCACACAACTAAAAAGCTGTCATTGTAATGAAAGCGAGAAAGTTTTACATGTTTTAAGTTAGAACCAATTTTTTTATTCAAAATATTTTCATCATATTTGCAAATATGTATCATTATTAATAAATTCAGAAATTAGCGTTATTGGAAAATAATTTTCAATTATTTGATGCTCTGGATAATCCTTTAATTTATATTTATTTAGTGTAATAACTCACATAACACAAAAGCATAAATTTACTTTGTATGTAGCATGAGGTTCTGCGTCAGAGTAGGAATTAAAAGCGGCCAAAATACTATTTAGAATTAAGATAAGCACTGAGAAGCAAAATATAGAAATAACCAAATTTTTATACTTTAGGTTTGGTTTGGTTTATTGAGATTACGGCAAAGCACACTAGGGCTATCTGCCTAAGGAGAGGAATGCCTTCGTGGAGGACTTTCTAAGGGAACCTGGCTCGTATACACGTTACACATGTGGAAAACCGCGAAAGCGCCCATGCAGCCAGCTCGTTCGCGGAATTCGAGCCTCGAACCGAAATACCAGTGTTCAGCGACTTTAGCACTCGGCAGATGGTGGGCCTTTTTTAAAAAAATCGAATCCACTTGGACGATTTTTTTATGTCTGAACGTACGGACAGAATAAAAAAGAGTTTTCCAAAACGGATTGTAAAATGGATTTAAAATAGACTCAAATGATATTTTTTTCGCGACGTCTTCACGTACGTATGTATGTGTGCATATACGTATCTCGCACAACTCAAAAATGATTAGCCGTAGAATATTGAAATTTTGTATATTGGACTGCGATAACATCTAACTGTGCACCACCTCTCTTTTCAATTGCAATCGGCAGTACCACACTGCTGGCCATCAAAACTGCAACACCATGAAGAAAATCAAATAGAAAAAAATATACCTAATGTACGTAAACAGTATGGCAGGAAGACAAAATGATTAAATTTCTAAGCAGTTGGGGGTTTTGTTAAAATGTTAAATTAAAATTTTATTGTTTGTTAAATGTTAAATTTGTTAAAATTATAAATCAAAATGGGACTTTATTTGTATATATATATACATAGGGGGCGAAATTAGTAGAAACATCTGCCACCCTTGACAGGTGGAACGGCCCTTACCCGTTTAGGCATGGAGCATGGAGTCGAACTGGATGACAGAAACGGGCCACTCATACTATGCTGCTTCAATTCTATGCCACACTTCACCAACCGTATTAGCTGAAGAGGAGTGGCGGGATAGTCTCTCAGCAACCCATGACCAGATGTTTTCAATGGATGACAGATCTAGAGAGCGTTCAGGCCAGGGCAGCAATCGAATACTCTTTGTATCGATGAAGGTCAGAATACCCCGTGCAACATGCGGTCTGGCATTATCCTTGTTCGAAGATGGCGTTTGGCAGACTTCGAAGATAGGGCACAGCCACTGGACGTAAGATGTTAGAAATGTACCCATCTGTATTCAATTACCGTCGATCCGAAATAGAGATGTATGTTTCGTATACCGAAGGGCTACCCACATCATCACACCAGGTGAGGGCCCCTATGCCTATATCGAATGCAAGCGGGCGACTTGCGGTCTCCTTGGAGCCTCCAGACACTTATATAGCCATCAGAATATTGCACGCAGAACCGGACTCGTCTGAAAAGAAGACATTGTGCCATTCCTGTATCCAGCTTTGTCGTTCGGCTCACCAGAATCGCCGTCTCTCTCTATGCTGCATTGTCAAGGGAAGTTGCAGTAATGGCCGCTGTGCTGATAGTTCACACTACTACAAATGTCGACGCACCGTATGGGAAGCTATTGGGCGTGCTGTAAACATGTCCATTTCCTGACTAATGGTCCGTGATGTGGCTGTACGGTTTTGCAGGGCTGACTGTACAATATGTCTGTCCTCTCAGGAGTTAGTCATGGAAGAGCGTTGAGATCCTGCATGCCGTTCAGATGACCCTGAGCAACACATAATTTCCATATTTGCATGACAGTGGTTGGATGTTGATCAGGGCGACGGGCGGTATCACAGAACGATAATCCACACCCTCGATAGGCAACGATCCTGCTTCTATCGAATTCCGACTTTGCTGGTAAGCATTTCATCTTCTTGTTCGAGGCATAACACGATATTTGAGCAAACTCCGACCTTACAAAGGGCTTTCCGAATGAAAAATCCACTACACAACTTTTCTTTTATGCAGTGCTTCAGATGTCGTTTTTGCCTCCTACGGCGTCTAAATGGGCTGAAATACTAATCATTTGCATATCCCAAACTCTTCTTTCTTTTATAAGGTATTTCTCCCGCCTTCTTGGTGTGGTGGTCTGCACGCTGGGCGCGTATTCCAGAGGTCCGTGGTTCGATTCCTGGTGAAGGCGCTGCATATTTTTCATCTTTCCTGCTTTCAAAATACCCAATGTCTCTACAGTGGCCCCCGAACTAAAACGGGTGTTGGATGGTGATTCTCCACACCCAGGATTTGGCGACTGGTACCCTAAAAAACACCAGACGCCCTTTAAAAGGGGGAGTGTACAAGGTATTTCTCCCGCTTTCTCGGCATGCTTTCGTGGCGTGGTTTCGTGGCGTCGTAGTTTGCATGCTGGGCGTGTATTCCAGAGGTTCGCGGTTCGATTCCCGGCGAAGGCGTTGCTAATTTTTCATCACACTTGCTTCCAAAAAAATACTAATGTCTGTACAATGTGATTTTGACGTTCGTCAGATCCTTCCTTCCTGCTGTTGCAGTTTTAATGGCCAGCAGTGTATGTATATATACTTTTACTATGTTTTAAATATACCTTAATTAGTTTAGCATATAGCTTACTATTATTGTTGATTTTTACTTGTAAATAATCAAATATTATATTTTTCTCTTTTAATTAATACATTTCATTGCAACTAATTTTGCTAATGTTAAAGTTACCACAGTATTTAAGCAGCTTTTTAGCGTTCGTACTAGAATTAATCTCTTAATTTCTTTAATTTTGCAGCACAATGCGCAAAATTTTTGACCACATAGGTCTTTAATCGTTTGTTCTTTCTACTTTACTTTAAATTATATATATATATATTGTTACGAAATGTACAGGCGTCTTCCTCCCACTCGCCATTGTTAGTTTAAGCCTGATATGTTTGCGAACCGGTTGGAGTTAATTTCTTATGTTTTATTGTGTTCAGTGCTTGTGCTTTTTGGTTTTGTGTTTTCGTTACCGATTTAAAATGTCAGGAAAACGAAAGAAGGTTGTGTTAACGATAGCGCAAAAACTAGAATTAATTTTCAAAGTAGCAAACGGCGCTACAAGGCAGCAGATGGAATTGGATTACGAAATCGCAGAAACAACAGTGCGTGACATTCTAAAGCAAAAAGACAAACTGGTGAACTTTGCATCAATGTCGGACAGTGCTTCCGCAATGAAAACGCGAAAAACTATGAAGGGCATACCTTTGATGGCAGACATGGCATTGACAGAGTGGTTAGTTCAAGTTCGAAAAGAGGGTACTCATGTACCCTCCTGTATCCTATTATTGCGGCGAAGGCAAAAACCTTTTTTGAGTTGTTAGGCCTGAAAGGAAATTTTGATGCGTCTTCTGGCTGGTTGACTCGTTTTCAGCAGCGACATGGAATTCGAGAAATTGGAATTCATGGGGAGAATATATTAAGCGTAATAAGCTAAAATATTAAGCGTTAGTTAAACATTTCCTGTTGTTTATTTTACGTTTTATTGTACATAAAACGATTTTTCAAAGTTTGAATGACTGTTTTCTTATTTGCTATACCCGTTTTTAGCTTTTTTCGAATTATCAGCGTTTTTTGTTATCCGCGGCGGCCGCGCCACCCAATGCCGCGGATAATCGGGAGTGTACTGTATATTCTTACGAAATGTACAGGCGCGGTAAGATGGCTTCCCCGCAAAGCAGTTTTAGGGTTGCCATAAAATGGCAAAGGAGGGCAAGGTTGCCACATTTGGCGAGAAATCGCCCACTTGGCGACCTTAGGCGACAAAATTGGCGATCTACCATGGACGGTTGGAGAACCTTCTGGAACGAATTCTTACCGGTTTAGTCCAGAACGTTCCCGAACACAAGCCGAAAGCTATATAAACCCTGCTGGTCCGCAGTCAGTTAGTGTGTGTGCCTCGCATAGATTCCGAGAGAGTCAGTGTCGAGTTGATGTCTCATCTAGCGAGGTCAATCCCTGCGGAGTCGATCGAGTTTACAGCCGGGCAGCAAGTGCCGAGTGGGTCGTCGAGTGCACCGAAGGAGTCTGTTAGTGTATCGCCGTTAGTGCATCGTCGAGAGAGAGTGTTGAATTCCGGGAACGACTGAACCGAAGAGTTGGGAGCTGTACTCGTGTGTCGTCGAGTGCATCGCGAGTTGTAGCGTGGAGAGTCTCGAGAGCACGTGGAGTTCCAAAGAACTACCAAGCAGAGTCGGGAGCTGTACTCCGGAAAGCAGAATCGGGTGCTTTGCAGGAAGATGTCTCCACCGTGATAGCCTGATAACCTGAAGGCTGTGTCGCTGATCGTGTCAGCGTGTTTATAGTAGTTCATCGACGACTGTAAAGCGTGTTTGGAGCTGTCCTGACAATACTGGCTAATAAAGTGTGTTTCGATACTTCATCAAGTGTCGTCGTTATTCACTCCAAATCTACGAACGTGAAGGAAGAAAACAACGTAACAACTGGTGTCAGAAAAGAAAAAAAATCGTAACACTATATACGCTACATATATATAATTTATTCACTAAAGAAATATTGATTATATTATCTCCTA